ATGTGCATGTGCATACATGAGTATGTGCATACATTTATGAATGTATATGTGTATGTAAATCTTTCTTCTTCTTTCTTTCATTAAACCAGCCATCTCCCACTAAAGTAGGGTGACTCAAAAAAGAAGAACTATTTTTATCATAACTCACTCCATTGCTGTCTTGGCAGAGGAGCAGCAATAGTACAGTTAAAAAACTGCAAACATCCCCATCCCTCCTTCAAAGTGTTGGTACTGTAATCTCCACCTCCAGGACTCAAGTCCAGCTAACCAGTTTCCCTAAATCCCTTTATATAAATGTTACTTTGTTCATATTCCAACAGCACATCAAGTCATAAAAACCATTTGCCTCCATTCACTCCTATCTAACATGCTCACACATGTTTCCTGGATGTCTATGCCTCTCACATACAAAATCTCCTTTACTCCCTCCCTTCAATCATTCCTAGGACTACCCTCTACCTGTCCTCCCTCCACGACAAATTTATACTCTCTCCAAGTCATCCCATTTTGTTACACATCCTCTCTCTCTCTCTCTCTTTATATATTTATTATATATACAAGGTGAGGAGTAAATGAAGAAAAATCGGGTGTATGGGAAAGAACTATATCTAAGAAGGAGTATCAATCATATTAAATTACCAACTATAGAAAGGGAGGAGAAAGTACAGGTGTTTAAATTCAAGAATTATGTGAATCAGAGTACAAGTGGGAATCATGAAATGGGTAATAAGATAAGATTTTGTTTGGATTTTTAACTCAATGTTTCCACCAGTACCTGTGATCAAACCACATAGTGGGTCATCAGCAAAGTGGATTATCAGCCAAGCCAGGGAGAGATTTTGAGAGGTGTCAAGTGAATGTTTAGAAAGTTGGAACCAAGTGAGAGATAAATGTTGTGGGTGACTTAAATACTAAAGTAGGCAAGATTGTTGTAGGGGCACAGCAGGTAAGTTCAGAGGTAAATGATAATGGGGGGCTGCTAAATGAATCATGTATAGAAAAAGATTTGGTTACAGGTCATACTTATTTTAAGAAAAAGTAGTTAAATAAGTTCATGGTATATAATATAGGGTACAATAACCGTGGTGTGCAAAATTATATATTAGTGGATAAAAGTTTCATGTGTAGACTTCTGGATGGGCATATTTTTAAAGGGAACACTGGCATATCAATTTATAGTTTTGTGGTAGCTACTGTAAGAATAAAATGCAGATGAAGTACAAGGAGAATAGCAGTGGCACGTAAGAGAAGTGAAAGGGAATAAGCTAAAGAAGGGGACAGTTAGTGGGAGATACAAGCCACTGTTAGTAGAAAGGTTGAGGAGAGAAAGTATGAGTAATGAGGAGACTAGAGAGATATGGGGTAGATTTAAGAATGCAGTGCTAGAGTGTGCAGCATAAGTTTGTCATTACAGGAGGGTGGGTGCTGGTGGGAAGAGAAATGATTGGTGGAATGATGATACAAACAGGGTGGTATAGGAAAAAAATTACCATATAAGTTTTTACAATGCAAAAAATTATCATAGAAGGCAGAGAGGAAAGAAAAAAAATGAGGTAAAACAAGTGGTGAGTCCAAAAGGAGAGCCAATGAAAGAATGGGTGAGTTTTCATCAGCAAATTTTGCTGAGACCAGGAAACCGTTGTCAGGAGATTAATAAACTGCAAAAGCCTGGGGAAGCAAATACATTTTTCAGTTAAAAATGAAAAAGAGGTAAGTTAGATGGGGGGAGGCAGATACTGGAGAGAATGAGAGATTATTTTGAGAAGTTGTTAAATGTTGACAATGAAAAGTAGGTGAGAATATCATAACTTGTGCAGAGAGGAATAATATCTGTTAGGTGAAGGGAAGTGCCAGACATGAATGTGGGGAAGTGCATGAAGCAATGGGTATAATATAAGGGAGAAGAGGTAAAACACCTAGGATTTATGGGATTAAAACAGATTTTAAAATTAGATGGGGCTATTGTTTTGGATTGTTTGGTGCATGATTTCAATATATGCATGAGAGGAAATGTACCTATAGCTTGGCAGAAAGCATGCATAGTTCCTTTATATATGGGAAAAGAGAACAAGAGAGAGTGTAAAAAATTATAGGGAAATAAACCTGTTGAGTATACAGGTAAAGAGTGTATGGTAGAATTACAGTGGACCCCCGCTTAATGATCACCTCCCAATGCGACCAATTATGTAAGTGTATTTATGTAAGTGCGTTTGTACGTGTATGTTTGGGGGTCTGAAATGGACTAATCTACTTCACAATATTCCTTATGGGAACAAATTCGGTCAGTACTGGCACCTGAACATACTTCTGGAATGAAAAAATATCGTTAACCGGGGGTCCACTGTATTACTGAAAAAGTTAGGTATAAGACAAATAATAATAATGAAATGAAGAGCTAAACCCAAAAAGATCATACAGTGCTGCAAAGGGTAAGAAAAAAAAAGTATTGCAGAGGAACAGAGAGAATTTAGGGAGGGTAGGGGATGTACAGACCAAGTGTTTATACTGTACCACAGAAGTGGACATTATTTAAATAAGGGTAAGTAACTGTTTGTCACATTTATGGATTTAGAAAAGATGTATGATAGGGTTACCATATTATTAAAAGCAGTGAAGAGTTTTATGAGGTGAGTGAGGCTCAGGTCAGGATATAGAAGAGGGAAAACTGTTGTTTGTGATGCCTGTGCACTTCTCACAAAACAGCTGTTGAATGAATTATGATGAATGTTTCCATTTTTGGGCCACCCTACCCATGTAAGAGGTCAATGTTGGAAAAAAAAAAATAAATATGGATAACAGCTGCTTGGCCGAGTTTGGACATAATTTGTAGTATAATGTGTACAATACTGAACAGTTTTTTAATATACAGTGGTATCTTGAGTTACGAACTTAATTCGTTCCAGAAAGCTGTTCGAGTGCTGATACCAAATGAATTTGTTCCCATAAGGAATAATGTAAATTAGATTAGTCCGCTTCAGTCCCCCAAAAATACATTTACAAAAGCACTTACAAAAATACACTTACATAACTGTTTCAGTTGGGAGCTGTTCGAAACTCAAGTTACCATTGTAATTTTATCTGGCAATTGCCTAAAAAAAAGTACGGTAGACCGTCATTTAGCATGAGTTTATTTGGCACGATTTGGGTATAGTACGATTGAAGAATTGTGGCACAATTTTATGTAACACATCATAAAATTAATTTGACACGGTTCAGTTTGTGGGAAGGAAAAAAAAAATCCCTTTTCCTCAAGCGGCTGCCTTGTTGTGGATTAGCAGGGGAGACCTCCTGCCATCCCCTGCCACCCCCCAGCACCACCCCACCATCCTAGCATTCGTATTTCATACGTGTCCAGTCCAGTCTTTCTCTGCACAAGCTAGCTGTGTTTGTGAATTGTGTTTTGATCTTTTAATTACTATATCTTGTATCTGCAAAGCAATCATGACACCCAGTAGGCATACCAGTGTTGCTGAAAGTGGCAAGAAAAAGTATAAGCATTTGTCTTAGAATTAACGAAGGAAACAAATATATTAGACAAGAGATAACAGTAATGAATTGTTACTTTGCACACATAAAAAGAGGTAAACATGAGTTTGTGTGACTGACTGACTGGCTGACTGACTTACTGATGGACTGACTTGCTGAATGACTGACTTACTGAATGATTGACTTACTGACTTGACTGAGTGACTTACTGACTTGATTGAATGACTTACTGACTTGACTGAATGACTGAATGACTTGATCGAACGACTTACTGACTTGACTGACTGAATGACTTACTGGCCTGACTAAATGATTTACTGACCTGACTGAATGACTTGACTAACTGACTGACTTGACTGAATGACTTACTGACTTGCCTGACTGAATGACTGAATCACTTGACTGATTGACTGACTGAATGACTTGACTGACTGATTGAATGACTTAAAGTTAGACATTCTAGTACCAGAACCTCTACCATCCACCTCAGCCCAGTAGGACCACAACATAACTCCACTCTTTTCACAATCATCCACAAACACCAGCACCCACAATTTAAGGTAAGAAATACTATTATTTCTGTTACATTTGTAGTCTTAACCAGTAAAAACAACATAATACATCACAACAATGAATTACAATTCCATATTCACATTTATTTTTGTAAGATGTAGAGACCTAAAGAAAGTTGTTTGGCTTTTTGGGGCTCCCAGCAACATAGCCCTATTTTCCCATAAGTTTTTCAGTTTACCTAACACAGTTTTACTTAACACGCCATTTTCAGGAACGTAACTATTGTGTTAAATGACGGTCTACTGTAGTTTGATTTTTTTTGTTAGGTTAACCTAGGTTTTGTTAAATTAGGTTAGGTATTGTTAGGAAACCTAACCCAACCCAACCCAAATGAACCTAATGGAACCACCCCAAACCCAACCTAACATCACCTAACATAAACATAGCCTATTACCTAACAAATTAAAAAAAAATCTGCAGTAGTGCTCACATCTGCTGCAAATATCCCATGTCATATTGCTAAGAAGTGAGCAACTGTGTGGTGCCAGTTGCTTTTATTGGAATGCTGGGGGTTGAATCCTTGCCACTGACTAAATATGACAAGCATTTTACCACATACGTATATCCTTCCACTCATAAAAATATTTAAGCAGTTAACATCTACTCAAATAAAAATTTCCAGAAAATTAAACCAGCTCTGTTACAAAACTCACTTATCATTGTACACTTTAAGCTATAAAATATCACCAAACTTAGACAAGCAGATGTTCTTCATAGTAACCAAATATATATATATATATATATATATATATATATATATATATATATATATATATATATATATATATTATATATATATATATATATATATATATATATATATATATATATATATAATGTATGTATGTACACATGTATGTGTATTGATAATGGGGTGTACTTGTATTTACCTGGTGGCCACCATTACTAGTGACCATAAGGGGGACAATCAGCCTGTAAAATCAACTAACACACTTTATTGGTCTGGGCGGCCTCGCTCCCCAGATATGGGCTCTCCAGGGTGAATCTTGCGGATATGAAGCTTCAGGTTGTCCTTAATATTGGCAGCATGAGGGCAGTATGGACATCGGAAAGGTTTGATGGCCAAGTGTGTGGCCAAGTGACGCTTGAGATGCCAGTGGCGGGCGAAGCAACGGCCACATGCAGGGCACTGGAAGTCAGCCAGGCTCTCGCTGCTGAGACCCATCTCCATCGCTGCCACAGCTACTCCCGCCTGTAAGCACAAGACACGCGTCAACCCCTCTCCCACCCAGTACCAGCCACAATGGCATGATCCTCCACCTTACTGTCAATTCTTCCACTTCATCCAGCATCTCCTTTAACAACCCAAGCAGTTGACTATAAACAAAATGGCATACTATATTGTACATTTGATTTATAGTGTTAAAAATAAACTGAGATATTAAAAATATTCATAGCTGATAAAAAAAAAAAAAGATCTCCGCTAAGAAAACGAGCAGTGTACTTCTGGCATGTCCAACATATACAGATTTACTGATGCGGAAAGCTATATGATCCATGTTAATAAAAAAAATACATAATTTATCAACTAAAGAATCATAAGGTACCATTCAACAAAAAGGATACAAATATTATGGGTTCTTTCTAATACAGTACAGATGTATTTATAATTAAAATTGTGTTCACATCACATGCTTATTTTGCCACAAATTTAAAGAGCACAACAGTATCAGCATCTCGGAAATACTACATAACTGTATCTTGTTATATATATATCTTCAACATTTACTTCCTCAGAGTTTCAGAGATGCTTTTTATTTATGAATTATTAACCAGTTTTGGTTATGGTTTCCTATGGGAAGTTCAGCAATAATTTTTTCTTATTTAGAAATTGTTGACAATTTTCACCAAAAGTTTTCTTGGTGCATCATTACATTGGGTTAAAGTAAATACAAAATTTCCTTCAAAGTGACTAGGGTAGGCGAGGACTAGGTTAGGTGAGGACTAGGTTAGGTGAGGACTAGGTTAGGTGAGGACTAGGTTAGGTGAGGACTAGGTTAGGTGAGGACTAGGTTAGGTGAGGACTAGGTTAGGTGAGGGCTAGGTTAGGTGAGGGCTAGGTTAGGTGAGGACTAGGTTAGGTGAGGACTAGGTTAGGTGAGGACTAGGTTAGGTGAGGACTAGGTTAGGTGAGGACTAGGTTAGGTGAGGCTAGGTTAGGTGAGGACTAGGTTAGGTGAGGACTAGGTTAGGTGAGGACTAGGTTAGGTGAGGACTAGGTTAGGTGAGGACTAGGTTAGGTGAGGACTAGGTTAGGTGAGGACTAGGTTAGGTGAGGACTAGGTTAGGTGAGGGCTAGGTTAGGTGAGGGCTAGGTTAGGTGAGGACTAGGTTAGGTGAGGACTAGGTTAGGTGAGGACTAGGTTAGGTGAGGACTAGGTTAGGTGAGGACTAGGTTAGGTGAGGACTAGGTTAGGTGAGGACTAGGTTAGGTGAGGGCTAGGTTAGGTGAGGACTAGGTTAGGTGAGGAATAGGTTAGGTGAGGACTAGGTTAGGTGAGGACTAGGTTAGGTGAGGACTAGGTTAGGTGAGGACTAGGTTAGGTGAGGACTAGGTTAGGTGAGGACTAGGTTAGGTGAGGACTAGGTTAGGTGAGGACTAGGTTAGGTGAGGACTAGGTTAGGTGAGGACTAGGTTAGGTGAGGACTAGGTTAGGTGAGGACTAGGTTAGGTGAGGACTAGGTTAGGTGAGGACTAGGTTAGGTGAGGACTAAGTTAGGTGAGGACTAGGTTAGGTGGGGACTAGGTTAGGTGAGGACTAGGTTAGGTGAGGACTAGGTTAGGTGAGGACTAGGTTAGGTGAGGGCTAGGTTAGGTGAGGGCTAGGTTAGGTGAGGGACTAGGTTAGGTGAGGACTAGGTTAGGTGAGGACTAGGTTAGGTGAGGACTAGGTTAGGTGAGGACTAGGTTAGGTGAGGACTAGGTTAGGTGAGGACTAGGTTAGGTGAGGACTAGGTTAGGTGAGGACTAGGTTAGGTGAGGACCAGGTTAGGTGAGGACTAGGTTAGGTGAGGACTAGGTTAGGTGAGGACTAGGTTAGGTGAGGACTAGGTTAGGTGAGGACTAGGTTAGGTGAGGACTAGGTTAGGTGAGGACTAGGTTAGGTGAGGACTAGGTTAGGTGAGGACTAGGTTAGGTGAGGACTAGGTTAGGTGAGGGCTAGGTTAGGTGAGGACTAGGTTAGGTGAGGAATAGGTTAGGTGAGGGCTAGGTTAGGTGAGGACTAGGTTAGGTGAGGAATAGGTTAGGTGAGGAATAGGTTAGGTAGGGGGCTAGGTTAGGTGAGGGTAGGTTAGGTGAGGAATAGGTTAGGTGAGGAATAGGTTAGGTGAGGGCTAGGTTAGGTGAGGACTAGGTTAGGTGAGGACTAGGTTAGGTGAGGACTAGGTTAGGTGAGGAATAGGTTAGGTGAGGGCTAGGTTAGGTGAAGGCTAGGTTAGTTAAGGGCTAGAGTAGGTGAGGGCTAGGGTAGGTAAGGGATAGGTTAGGTGAGGGCTAGATAATGTGAGAGCTGGGGTAGATGAGGGCTAGGGTAGGTAAGGGCTAGATGAGGTGAGGGCTAGGGTAGGTGAGGGCTAGGTTAGGTGAAGGCTAGGTTAGTTGAGGGCTAGAGTAGGTGAGGGCTATGGTAGGTGAGGGCTAGTTTAGGTGAGGGCTAGGGTCAGTGAGGGCTAGGGTAGGTGAGGGCTAGGGTAGGTGAGTGCTAGGTTAGGTGAAGGCTAGGGTAGGTGAGGGCTAGGGTAGGTGAGGGTTAGGGTAGGGGAGGGCTAGGGTAGGTAATGGCTAGGTTAGGTGAGGCTTAGAGTAGGTGAGGGCTAGGGTAGGTGAGAGCTGGGATAGGTAAGGGATAGGGTAGGTGAGGGATAGGGTAGATGAGGTGGGGCTGGGCAAAGATGGGAGCCTGATGTTGGAAGAAGTCGTTGGTCCAGAGCCCTCCCTCCTGGCATATGGGCAGGAGACTGAGGGCATATGAGTGAGGGGATGGACAAAGGTGGATGAAGGCTACAACATATAGGCAGGGGAGTGTGAAAACTGGGTGTTGGTGTCGGGCACAACAAGTGTGGGGAGATGTATGGTAGGTGAAGGTGTCAAGTAAAGATTTGGGCACCAAGTGAAGCTACTCAGTGAGGCTCTGCACTCCATTCATACTCGTCCAGTAGTGTACCTTTACCACACGCCTCTACCCATTCCCTGCTACACACCTAGCAACCTCCACCCACCCCACCCACTCATTCAACCTCTTTCCCCAGAATCCACACACCCAACAACTTAACCCATACTTCCTATAACCCCCACCCACAACCACCTACCCCTATAATTTCCTCACAACCATACACCTCCACCCACACAACCTGTCCATACAATCCCCCCCCCCACGGCCATACGCCAACACCTACACCATTCCCTCCAAGACAATATTCCCCATCTACCACAAGACTACACCTTGTCCAGCCTCATGCCCTCTCCCTCACCATTTCCCTATAGCCTGATGCCCACACTGGGGCCAGGAGCTGTGACTCAACCCCTTCAACCACAAATAGATGAGTACACTTAACTCTGCCTTTCACCCTAACACACTGTCCACATATCTAATCACTTAGCTGCCCATCACCTTCTTTATTGCCTATATTACCCTCATTACTGCCTACACCACCAACTGCAAACTCACCCAACCAGTCACTCATCACCCACATCACCACCCACACTAAACAACCAACAGCCACACTTTCACCCACACCACTCACCCACAGTTTCAAGCCCATACAGCCTCCACCCACACCTCTCCCCCCACACCCCAATGCCCACACCTTATCCATGCTTTCACAGCCCACACACCTAGTCATGTAGCCACCCACCACTATTATTGCCCACACTACCAACTACACACTCCCCCACCCAGTCACTCATCATCCACACCACCACCAGGCCACCAACACTGCCACCCACACAGTCACCATCAAACCACCTCATTGCTTCCAGCCTCTACACCACTCCACTGCTCAACATCCTCCACCTCCCAACACCAGCCTCCAGTTCCTGCCCCCACCCCTCTACCATTCTGTCTCCACCTCCTACATCAGCAGTTCCCCATTCCCCACCCACACACCAAACCCCAACTGCTCTATTCCCTCCTGTGCACACCCCAACCAATCTAATCCCAACTTCATAATCCCCATACATCTTGACTCACAAAATCGTAATGACACAATTGCAAACAAACCATACCACGGGCGGGGATTAAACTTCTGGTGAGTGAGTCATAAAATGACAGGCCAGAGTGTAAGCCACTGGGCCATCTGGCTACATTAAGATTCATCCAACTAAGTATATTTATACACCATAGAGGTGTTTGCACAGGCCCCACTGTGACCACAAATGCAAGTTTTTACAGATGAATCTCCTGCCAGCATGGCTGTGACAAACCCTAACTCTAATCCCCTCAGAGCACTAGCCTGGAGTTTTACAAGTTACTCGCCACAAGTTCATGGTATGGTTTAATCCTCATAGAGTTGCAACGATTTGGACAACCATACAACAAGGCACCTCTGTCTGCTATCAGAAGTGTAGAGGTGGGATCTTTGACTGATGTACATCACCAAAGTGACCTACAATTACATTATCATTTTTTTTTGCAATTCTGAGACCTGTAAAAATTTTATTTGGCTCTTTTGGGGTGTGATGATCATAACACGATGTTCTTCAGTTCAGTTTACATGCATTTTTTATTATATGCAGTATTCAGGAACATAGCTACTGTGTATGTCTGTACTGTGTTCACCATATGGTTAAGAGTACCAGAGAGAAAAACAAATACAACAGTACTGTAATGTATTAATACTGTGTATCAAGGAGCAAATCATCATGTAATCAAGATTTACATCAGGCAATATTCCTGATAAAAAAGTTAGTCTGCCTGAAATGCCTAGACATGCTAGTGGCTTTCTTTGTACAGGTCCTCCATCACAAATCCGGTATCAATGGGGCCTGCAGTGTGCCCGATTACTGAGTTTCCCAGATTACAGAGTGGTTAGGTTAGGATACACTTAACTCTTTCAGGGTTCCGGCCGTACTAGTATGGCTTACGCACCAGGGTCCATGACGTACTAGTATTCATAAATTCTAGCACCTTCAACTCTAGTGAGAGAAAGCTGGTAGGTCTACATATGAAAGAATGGGTCTATGTAGTCAGTGTGCCCAGTATAAAAAAAATCCTGCAGCACACAGTGCGTAATGAGAAAAAAAAAAAGCTTTGACCGTGTTTTTGGATTAAAACAGCGACTTTGC